TCATTTGATGTGTAAATACAACATTATAAATGTATTATAACTACATGTCTATTTCTTTATTTAGTTCTGCCTGTGTATATTTTGTCAAATTTATTTGATAGGAATTGAATATAACCTTTATACCGGCTGATTAACTACCATGCAGTAAAATAACTACTGTTGACACCATTTCCTCCAACGATTTCGCAACGAATTGCCCATACCATATAATTAGAATAAACTCTTTCAATCAATGTTTAAATTTTTATATTGTCATTTATTCTTTCGTTTTTGTTTCTGTACTAATTTTCATGTCAGATACAATAATTTAGTTTTTAAGTAAATTTTCATTTTCATAGCTATACACAAACATGCCTACCTGTTGCATTAAAAATTGCATTAATAATAAATAGAAATGAGAAAATTTCTGATGCATCTTTTCACAGGTTTATTTTCAAATTAACTTCACACTAAAATAAATGTAACAATATCCCTATACTCATTGAATAGAACTATTTTGTTTTACAATTACATATATTTTATTTTATAGACTATTATAATTTATAATGCTATCATGGATTACCATTTTATTATTAAAAGCAATACATAAAAAATGCACAAGTTTCTGTAACAGTTTATAAAATTTCAGATTTCCTCAAAATGTAAAAATGCAAAACGATTGAATTAAGTGCATCAGACAGGAAATAAATGATTTCAAATGGCTTCCATCAAAAAATGCAAGAATATGCAGTGACCATTTCTGTAATAAAGATTATAAGGGTTATGATGGAAAAAGGAAGGTAATGCTGAAGAAAGCATTCCCATGATTTCAAGTTAGTTATATTTATATGTGATCAGTTACACAAGGAAGCAATTCACATCATCATTGTACATTGCAACATTCTTATCTATACAAAAAATATAAAATGCATTCAACAATATTCCATGTATTTTATTAAAACTTAGAAAGGGCATAATGACATTGTGAATAATAAACCCTGCTTAGGACTGGGATCATCATCATCATCATACCAATCACCATTACAAGTAGATTCAATTTTATATCAATGCTTAACAAGTTAACTAAATTGGCATAATCAAGTTTTTATATGAAATACACATCAAGTATTTAATGTAACAAATAAATTAACAGAAAAATTTCCGGAAAAGTTTAAAAAAATTAGAACATATGACTCTGATCAAAAATCATTCGCGTTGACATTGCATTTGTATGGGCATAAGGCATATGATTATCTTTGGACAAATGGCTTACATCTTCCTCACACTAGGACATTAAGAAAGTGATCTTGTCATACCTGTTCAATAATTTTAATAAGATTGTTTTAAATAACTATTCTCAATGATATTTTATTAACACTACATTAAAAGGTGGCTACAAAACATTGATGGTATGCCTGGGGTGATTTCTACAAACCTTATTGACTAATGGTGATGGGGATCCTCTGGAACTGTAGGATCATGACATTCAATCTAGTCATGGATTGAGAAATCAATCCTTGATATATTTTATATAAAAATTTATAACAAACATTTATTATAATATAAGAATGAAAAAAAGATGTAGGTGTAAGGCAAAATCTTACTGGAACTATTATTTTTAGCAATTTATGATTTATTTTTTTATTTATAACTTTATCCATTTTCAATGATACCGATATTTTTAATTATTATTATCCAAATTATACTCATGCCTATATAAATTAATATGATTGTGGCTATTTCTATGCTTAATTATTTTATTTACTTGCCATAGGTATGCACAGCATTTAATAAATTAATGATAATAATTAATAACACAACATTCTAAGTGCATAAAATATAATAAATTAAAAGTACAATTTTTACAAACCTCATTAGTTATGGTGATGGGGATTCTTTAAAACGGAATGATCATGATCTAACAAGTCATGGATTGATGAATCACTGGAATCACACATTATCTTTAAATAATTTAATTACAACATATACTACAATTTAAGAATGAGGAATATTTTGTAAAGCATTAAATGAAAAAAAATTTAGTTTGAATCACTCATAATTAATAAATTTTAATTAAATTGCAAGGTAGCTTGGGGAGTTTGAAGCTTGAATTGAACAAATTACAAAATTGTTTATTTTATAAAATTGATTGATAAGTTGTTTAATATATTAATTTATTTAATTTAGTATATTTTTTATTCCCAGACATAAGAATTGTAAATAAAAATTTTAAAAAACCAATCAAGCAATAGAATTTAGGATCTTAGGAAAACTTGAAAACTTTAAATTTGGCTCCGCCCGTCATTAATATTCATGACCAACCGAT